TGCCTCGCGTTGACGGCGGCGGCACGGAGAGGCGGAGCCACCGCCGGGCCATGTAAGGTGCATTGATCCCCCCCCCCCCAGGTTGGGATGGTGAAACCCTGCCGGGTGGACTTTTGAACCCTGGGACGGCACTGACCCAGGGCTGAGACTCTTGGGGTGTTGGACTTTTGGGACGTTGGGGAGATTTGTGGCTGGGGGGAGGGCCTTTGATCATTGTTTGGTTGGTAAATCCGAGTTGTGGTGTTTCCCCAATTTAATGCAGATGTGGTTACCTCATGTTATTAAAGGTTTGCTACTATACTGAGGCTCTGTGCTTGCGAGAGGGGAAGAATTGCCTCTTTTGAGGCACCCAGAGGTGTATGTAAGATTTCCCAGGTCACTGGGTGGGGGCTCGAGCCGGTGTTGTATTACCTCGTTGGGAGGAGACCCCTAGATACTGAACCCGGCCCTTGCTGCTGCTATTTACTCGGCCTGGCAGAAGGGTTACACAAGCTTCCACAGGGCTTTTGCCACTTGCTCCTCAACTATCAGAGCGATTCTCATTTTGGTATTGCTGCAATTTAAGGTAGTAGAAAGCAATTTGCAAACATTCATGCAAACTTCCATGCTTTACACATGCAAAATTTTTGCAGCCACTGCTGTGCGTTCTAACACTGCATAGCTATGCATTTCCACCAGTCTGTGCTTCTCTCATGGCACCAGAACCTGTGTTCCACTGTGTCAAAGAGGATCAGATGCTGCTTGCTTCTGCCAGTTGCTCAACTCAAGTGCTTCATGGTCTCATCACACTCTTACGTACTTCAGCAGGCCCAGGATAGGCTCTGGACATACTGCAGAATAAGGCACAAGGTGGTTGTTATGATTGCCATGGCACTTTGCTGCTGAACAGGGTCCATGCTTGCCTTGCTATGGCATCTGCATGGATAACCAGGGAAAAAAGGATGTGAAAAGATTGTTTGCTGTTGTTTTCAAGCAGGAAAGAGCGAGCAGATGAGTGCATACACAGAATGAGCAGTTGACAGCATATACACAGAATTACCTGCTGCACTATTTTGGTCCCATCATGTCCTGGGAGCCTAACCCAGAATGCAAAGGGGCAGCAGGAACTGTGCACAGTGAATTGATGTCAAAGTCAACTGTATCCACCCTATTGGGGACATACTATGTAGAACTCTTGCACACAGTGGGGACATACAACTTTGACTTTACAAAATCAGGTGCTAAAAAAATCCACTTTAATAAATTCAACCTTATCTTGTAGTGTAGACAAAAATCTCCTGTTAGCCATGGAAGTTTTGAAAAAGAAAGGGTATAATGCAGACCACTAGCAAAGCTGCAGAAATGAGGCGATATAACAGGTAGTTATATCTCAATTTTATGGAGAGTTGGTGGTGGAATGGTAGGTTACAGAAGATATTTAAAGCCACTGCAAAAATTAATTTGTAATTATGACTTACCTTTGATTTTTGCTCTATTTGAGGGCCAAGGACACACAACTCTTCTTGCATTTCTGTGACCAATGATGTTGCTTCGAGGAGCTTGGTCAGACCATTGTAAAAACAAGCCCTAAAAAATAAAAATAAAGCTGCAATGTGCATTATCTAGTATTCTTTATTTGTTTTATCATGTTTCCATGCTCATTTATTATGTGGAAAAATCTGATTGTACGTGTGGAGAGAGAGGCTGTACCAGTGCAACACCGCTATAACCTCCTCTTCAATGAAAGTCCACAAAAGTCCAACTCAGATCAAATACTTGTGGCATAAGATGGAGAGATGGTCTGGGAAAGGCATCCAGAGGTGAGCTGATTTACCATGTCCACTGAAGAATCATACCTGGCAGAGTTCTTATGGGGTCCTAATTGTAAAGACAGTGTAACAGGATAGACACAGGGTTGTTGTCCATACAAGACATTAGCTTGTTCAGGAACATACAATTTACAAATACTTCCATCTGCTTGGGTGCCTCTTAAGTACCAAATGCATTTTAGGTGGTTTTTAATATTGTGAAACATTCTCTAATATACAATGTGACAATTAAATAAAATATGAGTTAGTATATATTGACTTTGGAACCTTTATAGATAAGATCAGGAATCTACACATACCCATTTATCATGCATAATTTTTATTTGTGCATGTAATCACTCTTATGCATCTGTACTTTATTATACAATGTTAGTGCATACATGCTCATTGATTTTACAGGGATGTTTTAGGAGTTCACCTTTGAAAATCTGGCCCATTGTGTTTGGTTTTCATATTTTGCTCATTTGAAATAGGATATTTCATGTGACTATACTTTACAGCAATGTATAATGAGAAAATGTTATTAATTTCTCACCTGTTAGACAGACTTTTCTTTTTTGTCCTCTCTAATATGCTTGAAAAGGTGCCTATGAACTGCAAATAACTATTAGGAGTGACGTAGTAGTTCCTTTTAGTTTCCTTCAAATATTTCTCAATTGTTGAAGTGGCACTTTTGTGGATTTCAACACATACCTGGGCAACCATGGTTGTTAAGTTCTGGAAGGCAGTATGATTTTTTAAAAGCATGAAACAGTAAAATATTCTTATTTCTGAAGTTACAACATTCATGTTTGTTTAGATTTTGGTTCATGTAAGACTGTTAAATGCACAGGAAATAATTTAAAACAATGCTTCATACACTGTCCTACAAAGTTAATAGAAAATTAAGGTTATGTACCTGTAACCAGAATTTTTGGAGATGGACTTTGCATCTCCCCAACTCAGGAGATGCCATACCTGGTGCAGCTCAGACAATGAAATTTTATAGTGGTGTCTCAGAGTGATCATGCACTCCTTCTATTCCTCTCCTCAGTACTTCTCAATATTCTGAAGGTGAAGCTATAAAAAGAAGTATCACACTCTGCCACCTCAGCTCCTTCCATCATTTCACCAGAGTCAAGTATTTATTGGACTTCAAAGAAAACAAGAAGATGGGCAGGGAATGTTAATGAGTCTCTCTCAAAGAACTTGAGTTACAGATTAATTCCTTTCCTTCTTGGAGTGTCCTCTGAACATTTCCACATACAGGATAATTTGGCAAACAGTACCCTATGAATGGATGGTGGGACTTGGAGTTGGAACTGAAAAGAGAATGAAGTAGTGCCCCAACACAGAGCATCCGATCTACACAGTATATATAGACCAGTGGTCCCCAACCTCTGTGTGTGGCAGGCGCTGCACCACTGGGTGATGACATCCCGCTGTGTCACCTGGCTGGCTGGCCCCGTGCCAAGTGTGCCTGCGCTGGTGCCAGACCCCTCCCCCCCCTCACCACGGTCATTTCGCCACTCCGGACCGGCCGCCCTGCTCCCGCGGCTTCCCTGCCGCGCTCCCCGGCAGGTTCTCCCCACGCCCCGTCACAGCGCAAGTTCAGCCCCGCAGCGCGTGCAGCCCTCCCCCAGCCATCCCGCATCACGATTCCGACTAAGCGGGCACACATAAATGCCCCAGAGGGCACTATCGTGCCCACGGGCACCGCGTTGGGGACCACTGATCTAGACAACAGTTGTACAGGACTCTCTGTACCAGCCTTATAGGTCTCAGCAACTAGAACAAAAATAGTGGCCATTGTTCTGATCCAAGCCTCAGCAATGATGTGTCTAGCAATCATCTGAACCTCTCATGGCTCATGTAATATGGACAACTATATGATCACAGGCTCTGACAATGACTGTGAAAAAGATAAAGTGTTCACAGTGTGGGTGTTTTCACATTGATTTACATTAATTATTTACTCACATCAATCATGAACATTTGGCTTCCACCACAAGACCATAATAAAACCAAAAGCAATATGAAAGAAAGTATCACTAGTGTTGAGGTGAAGATGAAGTAATGGATTCTGTGACTTTCCATGACCTCTGTGACTTCTGCAGCTGCAATGTGACTGATCTCAGGGCTGCCCAACCAGCTGGTCCTATGGCCAGGTACTCTGGTAGCCCTGGGGACAGCCACACTGGCTGTAGCTGGAATGGCTCCAGAGCAGCTGGAGTGAGCAGCCTGGGGGGTAGCTAGAGCAGTTGCTTCTTGGAAGCACCTGGCTGATGATGTCACTGATACTGGAGCTGTCCCCATCCCCTCCACAGCAGCCCCCCAGCTACTATTTAGTTGCTGGCATCTATAGTACAAGCCATCAACAGGTGACAGGCCATGAATTTTTGTTTATTGTCTGTGACCTGTCCATGATTTTTACTAAAAACACCCATGATAAACTGTAAGAGGAAGTTACTCACCTTGTGCGGTAATGACAATTCTTTAAGAGGTGTGTCCCTGTGGGTGCTCCACTGTTGCTGTCGGTCATCCCGGTTCTGCAGATCAGAGTTTTCTGTAGCAGTAGCCAGCCAGACCGTGTGTGCATGGTTTGCATCTTTCAGTTTTGTGCCCTTTTGTACATGAGCACGGTCCAGCTCCCGCCAGTTCCACTCATCCAAGTATATGAAAAAAACATAATTAAGGGCAGAGATTCTGAAAGGAGGGTGGGTAGTGGAGCACCCAGAGGGTGGGTAGTGGAGCACCCAGAGGGACACACAACTTGAAGAACCATCGTTACAGCATAAGGTAGCTTCCTCTTCGAGTGATGACCCTGTGGGTGCTCCACTGTTGGTGACTTTTTAGCGGTACTCAAGAACACATGGAAGGCGGGTCTCGGAATCATATTTTAACAGCTGTTGAGAGTACTGCTGAGGCTACTGAGGAGTCATTAGTTAAATGATGTAAGATAGTGTAATGCTTCATAAAAGTATCATTGGAAGAACATGTGGCTGCATGGCAGATGTCTCAGAGAGGAGCCCCTTATAGGAAAGCCGTGGATGCCTCTACAGCTCTGGTGGAATGAGCCTTGGATGTTATTGGAAGTGGCTTATTCTGGATGGCATAACACTTAGTGATACACAAAACTATGAGCCTAGAGATGCGCTGAGATGAAAGTGGTTCACCCTTGGAGAAGTCCACTAGAGAAACTAGCAAGCATTGAGACTTGGGGAAAGATTGAGTTCTTGCTATGTAAAAAGCAAGTGCTCTGCACACATTGAGGGAATGCAGAGTTGCCTGCAAGGTAAGGCATGTGGTTTGGAATTTTTGTTTATTGTCTGCCAAGGTAAGAGGTGTGATTCTTCGAGTGATGACCCTCTTTTTAACAGTGTATATGTGAGTCGGAACTGGCGTCCAGATTCAGCCGCTGCTGAAACTGATCAGTTTCAACAGCGGCTGAATCTGGACGCCAATTCTGACTTACATACAGATTCAACTTAAGAACCCCAGGCATCCCCAAGTCAGCTGCTGCTGAAACTGATCAGCGGCTGATTCCAGGAAGCCCGGTATATTAAAAATAGTATACCGTGGAACCGCCATCAAGGCTGCTAACTCACTCACTCTGCGGGCAGAAATGATTGCCAGTAGAAAAACTACCTTTAGTGTCATCATCAACAATGGACAGGTAGCTAGAGGTTCGAAAGGGGCACGGTTAAGAATGTCTAGCACCATTTCTAAATTCCATGATGGTGGTGGTAGCAGCCTGCATGGAGGATATAGTTTAGAAAGACTCTTTATGAAGCTCTTCGTGATGGAGTGAGCGAAGACTGACCACCCTTCTACTGCTCGGTGAAAGGCAGTAATCGCCGAGAGATGTACCTTTAAAGAGGAGAGGGCTAATCCAGCGTCCTTGAGGGACAATATGCAGTCCAATTCCATGTAATGGCGCTGTGCTTGGGTCTAAATGCTTGTTAGAGGACCAGAAGAGGAATCTATGCCACTTTTGGAGGTAGGAGGTCCAGGCAGATTGATTTCCACTATGCAAAAGAACCTCTTTTACTTGGTCAGAACATTATAATTCTTCCTGGTAGAACCAACAATGAACCATGCTGTTAGGCACAGAAGATGTGGCTTCAGGTGGAGTAAGATTCCTCTGTTCTGAGTTAGAAGATCGTGCCAAACTAGAAGGTGATAGGGAGACTGAGGAGACATCAGATACAGATAAAGGAACCATATCTGTCGTGCCCAAAATGGTGCTATGAGAATAACTGTGTTTCTGGTGATCTTCTCCAGCAGCTTGGAAATGAGTGGGATAGGAGGAAATGCTTATGAGAGGGGGCCCTTTCAACTGAGAAGAAAGGCATCTCCTAGAGACCCTGGTCCGATGCCGGCTCTCAAGCAGTAATGGCAACACTTCTTGTTTCTGTAGGAAGCAAACAGGTCTATTTTCAGGAGAACCCATCATTGGAAGATGGATTGGAGGACCCGAGAGTGCAGCTCCATTCGTGGTCTGGGGCAAAGTGTTTGCTGAGGGTGTCTGCTGTTATATTGTTTATTCCTAGTAAGTATGAAGCTACAAGGTGATGTTGTTTTGTATGCACCAGTTCCATAATCGGACCGCTTCTGTTCATAGGGTATGGGACCGGGCACTTCCCTGGCAGTTTAGACGGGGATCTTTTGAAAATATAACCTTTTTTCGAAAGATCCTTTGCAGTCCTGTTGGAGTACAGGATCTTTCGAAAAAGGGTTTTACTTTCAAAAGGTCCCTGCCTAAACTGCTGTTTTTGTATCAAAAAGCCCTGTTTCAAAAAAAAAAAAAAAAAAAAAAAAACCGCAGCCACCATTATGGAAATGAAGTGCGGGAAATTTAAATTCTGGCTTCATTTGCAATTTAAAAGTATCTATTTTACATCCCTTTTTCGAAAAAAAGGGATGTAGTCAAGACACAGCCAGAATCTAGCTGGGCACCAATGAATTCTAGAGTTTGTATAAGTTGTAGCATTGACTTTTGTGCATTGAGTATAAGGCCCAAGAGATCGAATGTTTGTTTGTTGCCACCATTTGATGTGTCTCCACTTATGATGGGCCTTTAACCAAGCAATCATTAAGGTATGGAAAAATAATCCCAGCTTGTCTGTGAAGGTGGGCTGTGACAACAGCCAGTGTCTTTGAAAACACTCTGGATGCCGAGGAAAGGCCGAATGGTAGTATCTGGTATTGATAATTTTCACATAAGTATTCACCCTGTGCACACCACAAAATATAGGAACCGTCTGTGCACAGGGTGAACAGTTATATGAAAATAGGCATCCTGAAGGTCGAGGGCTGGAAACCGGATTATTGAAGCTAGGGTAACTATTCTGAATTGTTGCTTTTGAAGATACCAATTCAATCTGTGGAAGTCCAAAATAGGCCTCCATCTTCCCGTCTTCTTTTGTTGTGCAAATAATGGCAGTAGAACCCCTTGTCTCTGAAGTCCTCTGGTACTATTTCCACTGCTCCTAGGATGAGCAGTTGCTGTACCTCCTGTTTTAGTAGGTTTTCAGGAGAGGTGTCTCTGAAGAGGGACAGGGAGGTGAGAGGAAGTGTAGTAAATGGGATGGTGTAGCCTGATGTTATTATTTCGAGGACCCAACAGTCCGATGTGATGGCAGCCCAGTGATGATAGAAAGGCCTCAGATGGTGGTGGAAGGCCAGGGTAGAATGTGATGTTTCGGGCGAGATGGGGAGATTTTCCAGACCTTTTA